AGGCAGGCACTCTACCACTCGACCCCCCAGACCCATGTACCCTTTTTACAGACAGCAAGATGTCACTTCCATGCCTTTCTTGCTTTATTGTCCTAGACCTTTCATCACTGCCCTTGCTGTAACACCCAGAGCTTGCCAGGGCATCCTTGGTCACAGTCTGTTCCAGTCCTTCCCCAGGCAGCTGGTTTTCCCATCTGTAAAAACAACTTTTCTGAACCTTTAGTGCTCTTCTCCAATCCACTCCTCTTCCCACCTATGCCCAGCCTTAACAGATGACCTGCCACTCCTCCCACTGCAGAGTGGAAGCAGAGGTCCTCAGCTATGCACCACTTCAGCCTTCTTCTCTTCATAGCCCCTTTTTTTCTTCCTTTCCCTCTGCCCCAGGGGAACTGGATCCCAGCTTTTTCCTCCAGCCTACTCTTCTTTCCATCTGCATTCCTAATCTTACTCTTATCCATCTCATCCAGCATCTTGTTCCACTAAATATTGCTATTTTTCTCATGATTTCAGTCTCCTATCTCCTCTAATAAAATGTTAAATCCTTGAGGGTAGAAGCTGTCATATCTTTGTTTCTGTTCGCATGACATAAAGTAGGTAGGGTTTGCTGCAGTTGTATCACTCATTGGTAGTGATGTCACCTGAGTCCTCAAGAACTGACTAAATAATATGTTTTATGTAAAAAATTAGATAAAAAGAGCCTCCTCCCATAATTCTCCCTGTTTCTAAAAATGAATTGTCACCTATGCTGAAAGTATTTACCACCAAGATTAAGGTTATATATATACTGAAGAGGGTCAAAGAGACTTTTAAGGAAAAGTTGGGCACTACTTCCTTGTTAATCATTCTCATGAAGGCATCTAAAAAGCAGTTGGTTGATTTTACCAACTGTGTCTGAACTGGAAAGAAGTACTATTTGTTCCTGCTGTCCCCAAAACATAAATCTGTACCAATAAAGACAATGCTAGTAACCTTTGTCCCCAGGAACTTAAAAGATAGATTGTAGTTTGTTGAAGTCACCTATTAAATTGCTGACCTTTATTTGCATAACACATTTGAATAGAATTATTTGTCTATTCTGTTTGGTATGTGCAGTCAACCCTCCATATCCACGGGCTCTCCATTCTTACGTTCAACCAATTGCATATCAAAACTACCTGAAAAAAATGGTGCTTGTGCTGAATATGTACAGACATTTTTTTCTTGTCATTTTACCATAAACAATATAGGTAACAGCTGTTTACATTGCATTTACTTTATATTAGGTATTATAAGTAATTTAGAGATGATTTAAGATATGTGAAGGGATGTGCATACATTCTACACAAATATTACACTATTGAGCAGTGGCAGATTGTGGTATCTGCACAATTCAAGGAGCAGATACAAAAGGGTGAGTGTACATTCAGAATATTAGCAAAGTGATTGTTGTCCAACCAATTTTTGCTGTTAAGATTATATTTTATTCATGTTTTCACTTGATCTAAAGAATGTTTTCTATGTCTTATTATAATTTTATGGTTTACTCTTTCACTCTTTTGTTTTTTTTCCCCCCCGACCTTGACTTCTTTCTAGTATTTCCTTCCGGCAAAATCTTTAACAGTAGACTGAGTGGCCTTGAGATATAGTTTTAATAAGAGCTTCGCTGAGTAATCACTTCATTAAAAAAAAAAACCTAATCCATTAATGAAAAGAAAGAAAGCAATACATTTTTCAAGGTTAACTTTCTTTGTGGTTGCGCCCATAAATAACACATGCTCATTGAATTACATTTAATCATTGCCTAGGTTCAACTATACTTAAGGTATGTATTTCTAGTAAGGAAAATGAAAAATCCGTAAGTTCAAGAAGCAGATTGTCAAAGAATTTATTCTTGTAAAACCATGGAGTTTTGCTTATTTAAAATTGTAGTCAGTACTCCAGGAAAGTGTTCAGAATACTCTATTGATTGCATCGCTTGTTGATTAGTAGGGTTTTTTTTTTTTTCTGTGTTTAGCCCCCCCACACACCTTTACTGGGGATTGAACTCAGCCCCAGCCTTGCAAGGCAAGCACTATGCCACTTAGTCATGCACCCAGTCCTATTTTCTTCTTTTTCTCCTTTTTGAAATAATTTTGACATTATTAAGTGTTCTCACAAAGTTTTCCTTAACTTTGCCTACAAATTTATGAATAATTCTATTCCTACTACAAATAGAATTCCTAATAGAATTTTAATCCTATTTTCCATAATGTTGGGATCTTGTCTCTTTTAACTGGGAGCTAGGGCATCTAATGTAGTAAGAGTAGCAAAACATCTTTTATCACCTATACAGTTTTGTGTTGTAGAGATAAATATCATATTTATTTTGTAAGTTTTTAAATTTAATTGATGACTTCATTTGAAAGTTGAAGCACAAGTACTATTGAAATCTTTGGGACATGCCAATAGCATGTCTGATATTCAGAGAATATCAGAAAACTACTACTATGTGTACAGTTCCTTTTGTTTCTATCCTACTCTGTTAATAGGTAAATTGTAACCGTGGAACATTACTTACAGTTGTTATCCCATTGAAAATCACAACCAGAATAATGCTTGTGAAATAATGAAAAATGTAAAATAGCAACCTTGATTTAAATACTTTTATTTTCCTGAGAGTTTCCTAAACTTTCTATGAGGAGAGTCAAACTCAATTTAAGCTACCACTTTCCCTGGAAAGAAGGTTGGTAAGTTTACACTGAAATAAATCCCTGTGCTAAGTGCAGGAGAGGGAGAGCTAGGAATTCAAGGGAACCAGAAAGATTGGTCTGGTGGTAGCCACTTACTTACTCTTCCAGACAGACTGCGCCTGTTCCAGCCATTTCCTAGCTCACTGACCTGGAGTAACTTATTTATTTTGCCTTTAGCAAAATGAAGGAAGTTTACCATGTTATTTGTTTTCAAATTGTATCCAAAAAGCACACAAGAATATCTCCGCAGGAGTCCTAGGCATATTGACTAGAAGACCCAAGTAGAACAGTCTCTCTTTGTAATGTTTTTATAGTCTTAAAGGATTGTTTAGTTTTAAAAAGCTTGATCACCTCAAAGTCTCTTCTTGTTCTATAAAAGCACATTGTTTTCTGCAGTCATTTTTTCCTTCATTTCTTTTTTGCCAAAAAGTCCTATAGCAATGGAGGCAACAGATAACTTATGAATACAGTTGAGAGGCAAAAGTACTAACGTAGTGTTTGGATTTGAAAAGACTAAGTGAATGGACTCATGGGGCTTCACTTCCATTTTTTACAAAGGGTGGGGTTTGAACGGGAGAGAAGAAAAGATAACACACACAAGAGGCACACATGGGATTTCACCCCTGAAAGAAAACTCCCCATCCTCACATAAAAGCTTGGAACTGGTAACAGTGACAGAGATAAAGGAAGTCATGAAAAGTGAATAACTAAAGAAAAGATTTGGTCTATTTTTTACATTTGCAATGATCTTATATTTCAGATATAGATAATGTACCCCATTATGCTTTGGGCAATTTTTCAAGCTCTGTAGATTTTCTGTAAATTAGAGCAAATTGATATTGTTCACATTTCACAATACAGTTGCTTAAAAAGTTATTTATTACTATTTTTAATTGATTTGTCCATATAAGTAGAAAACTATAAAAACTACTTGAGTTCTAGTCTTATATTATCTGTGAACTATCCAAACAAGCATCTGTATTAAAACAAAATAGACCAATATTTGAATCCCACATTGAGCAATTCCTCAGTTTTTTTCTCTACACCTTAGCCAACACCAGAATCTGGAAGCCTGGATCCACACCCCAGCAAAATGACCTTGAACAAGTCACTTTTACTCTCTGTACCATCATTCTTTTGTCTATGGTGAAAATAATTAATTTTCTACTTCATAATTGTTGTAAGGATTAAGTTATTTAAATTATAGTATTAAACTATTAATTTAGTAATTGGCATGGGTGGCATATTTACTATTACTGAGCAGAAGGAACTTGAATCTGTGAAGAGAAGAAAGTCTATGTACTAACCCAGGTGAGTGGCTCACACCTGTAATCTCAGCTACTTGGAATGCAGAGGCAGAAGGATTGCAAATTCAAGGCCAGTTTTGGCAAAGTTAAGGAGACTCCATCTCAGAAAGGTTTGGGGTATGGCTGTAGTGGTATAGTGCTTGCCTAGTATGCTTGAGGTTCTGGGTTCAATCCCTAGTATCACAAAAAAAGAAGAAGAAGAAAGTCTGTTTACTGAAGTAGAAGAAAAGGTATAAATTTGAGGGAACAAGTTTAAGAGAGATTAATCTGGCAACAGACTGTAAAAAGGATTGGTATTGAGAGATGCCAGCGTGTCAGGGACCAGTTAATATGCTCTAGTCTCAGCAAAAGGTAAAAATATCCTGAATTACCAAAGTGGAATTAGAATGGAATAAAGAGAAAGATGTGTGAGAGGCCACAGGCTTATGTAAGGGAAAGGGAAGAAGACACTAACCTTGGACTCTTAAACTGAATGCCTGGCATTATGGCTGCATCATTAATAGAAGTAACAATCCCAGAACTGTTCTTTGGCTTCTGAACACTTTCTGTATATGGAGAAATAGGGATGTAAAATTTTAAAGACTAATGTGGTCATATCATTATACAATGTTATTCGTGTGATATGTAAATAGCTAATAGTCTTCATCAAGAAATGTACAGATAACATTTTTAAAATTTTGCTCCAATTAAGAAAAGCATTTCCTATTTTCTCATTCTTTGATTTCATCATAAATTATATTGTATCAGGCCACAGAGACATGTTATTCTTTGATTCTAGTAAGCCATGTCTCTTGGCTTAGTGTTATGAAGAGCTGAAACATAAAACCCATTGAAAACAACCATCATTTTCTACATTTGACCCAACATACTATATATCTAGAAATACTATATATAAATATATGTACTATTCATATAAATATAAAATTACTTATGAGCTGCAAATACTTTTAGTCAATTGTTTCATGAGTATTTTTATTATTTCCAGGTCCGCTGGATGATGTATTGGATTGTTTTTGCCCTCTACACTGTGATTGAAACAATCGCAGATCAAACAGTTGCTTGGTAAGTTCTACTGTTGAAGGGGGCGCAGACTACAGACTCAATTTCTGTGGGGAGCAGATTATGCGAAGCCTATGAGAACTTGACATAAGCACAGTTGTGCTCAATGATCTACAGGCTGAGTTTGGCACATTTTGCAAAGGCAAAATGCAGCACAGCTGCTTTTCCTAAGTTGTTTCCATTCAGAGAAGTAGGATGGCAGGTTTCTCGTTACAGTGTCATGCCCCTCCCGGAGAACTCCATTTCCTTGTTTGGCACTGATAAAGACTCGCTGAAGGAGGATGTGGAGGATTGGATGGGGAATTTGGTATGGGATGGATTGATGGATGGGATTGGATTTTTGGATGGATTGATTGGCTGGCTGCAGGCTGCTTGTGAGAATGACACTGCTGCTGCTGGCTGTTTGTGTGTCTGCTAGTCTAAGGACAAAGACTTTAAAAGAGAACATGGGACAGTGCAAGTCTGAGGAAAGAGACTTTAAACAATAGAAAAGAAGCAAGGTTTTAAAGAATAGTAAACAAGTAAGGCCTTAAAGAATAGAGGAGAAAAGAAGCAAAGTAAAAGAAGACAGTAATAGAAAAAAGAAGTAATGAGGCTATTGTGCGTCTCCATCTGAGCGCCCAGCACACCTGGCCCCAGCTTTGTCTTCTATCTCTTGTCCTTTCTGCATCTTCAGTCGCCCCCAGTTAGGTCGATAGAACAAGAGCTCATGAGAAAGCTTGCAAGAAATTTCAGGTGTTCTGAGTTCTTATCCTGCTCTTGCGACTCACTAAGTGAATTAGTTCCCTAATTATCCAGTGTCTCATCTTCTTTATCTGCTTTCCCCATAAGAACGTTACTTTCCCTCACATGAAGGCAGCTCAGTTCTCCCCACATGCCTCATCCTGCCCTCCACCTCCTTCTCTGCTCCCCCTGAGGATCTTGGGATAGAGAAACTTGGTAGTCATCTTCCATTTTCTACACTGATGACTTCAGAATGTTTTTCTTGATCAATTCTTAAATGACTCCTCCTTTGAAGCCAAGCGTCTGGTTTTGGCCCTCCCTGCCCATCCTTAAAGCTCCCATCTGCAAGCATTGAGACTGCACAATGCTATCATGCATGTCATGCAGCTCAGCACCAGCTCCTTGGCTGCCCTATTCCAGATAACATGAGGCAAAATTAAAGCATGTTTTTTTCTTCACAGATTTAACATGGTACCAAGCAGCAATCCTTAATGGAACAACTTGAATCTCCTCATGCCATATCTCAGTATTGCCTCTCCAATCCCCCTTAAAAAAATGTTTAAATTTATGATGTTACCAGTGTTTTCAGTTTTCCATGCCTCATAAACTTGAGCCTAAATTAGCCTAATAATCATTCTTGTTTGCTTCTTTACCTGGGCTATTAAATGCAGCCAAAAAAATCAATCCACATTAGGTCAGTTTCTCCTTCCACTCCCTCCTGTTTTCTCTTTGAAATATCTTTCCCAAGCTGGGGCTCACACTCATAATCCTACCTACTTTGAAGGCTGAGATTTGGAGGATTATAGTTCAAGGCCAGCCTGGACAAATAGTTTACAAGACCCCATCTCCATAATAACCAGAGCAAAGTGGAAGTGTGGTTCAAGTGGTAGAGCACCTACTTTGCAAGCATGAAGCCCTGAGTTAGAATTGAATTTTCTAGAAAAAAATAGATATAATCAGACTTAAATGTTTTCAACAGCCTGCCCTTACTTGAATTTCACTACACCTCCACCCTTCCTCTTTTTTTGGGAGGGGGTAGGGGTTGCTGCTGATTGAACCCAGGACCTCCTCCATGCTACGCACACACACTCTTACCACTGAGCTGCATCCTCCAGCTACCCCCCACCACCAACCTCGTCTCTCTTCTGATGTGAAATACGTTTTCCTCCCTGTATCCTAAAGCCATTCATTTAACTGTTGTTTTTGGAGTGGAGCTTTGTGGGAGACTTTTCTGTTTGTTTTTAAGTGGCAAAACACAGATTCCAAACCATTCTAGGTGTTTTAAGTTTCAAAGTTCTTTTTGTAAAGTCTTCTTATTTTTTCTGACTTCAAATGTAACCTATATTGAAAAGTGTGAGAGGGCTAGCGGAGTAGCTCAAGTGATAGAGCACCTGCCTAGCAAGCATATGAAGCCCTGAGTTCAAACCCCAGTACCACAAAAAAAAAAAAAAGTGTAGGAAAAGTTTTTAACATGAATGCTAAAAGGTCCCAAACTCCCCTCCAACTGCACTGTGGCAGAGATGCTTTGGCTTTGTTGACTATGCTATAATCACTCTTTGCTGCCCACTACCTGTCTGTCTTGCCCAACACTTACTCAGTCTGTCCTATATTTTGGTGCCTCATGGATCACAGGATGCTGGTACTCTCATGATATATTAGTTAACTTTCAGTATGGCAACAAGCAACCCTAAAGTACAGTGGGTTAGGACAACAGACATTTCTTGTTTAGGTGGCCTGAGGGCAAATGGTTGGTTGCAGCTTTGCTGGACTCAGCTCAGTTTTTTTGTTTGTTTTTTGACAGTACTGGTGTTTGAACTCAGGGCCTCACTCTTGCTAAGCAGGCAGCCTACCACTTGAGCCACTCCACCTTTTTTTGGTTGGGTATTTTTTGAGGTAGGATCTTGAGTTTGAACTATTTGCCCAGGCTGACTTCAAACCACAGTCTCCTGATCTCTGCCCCCTGAGGAACTAGGATTACAGGCATGAGCCACCAGTACCCAGCTTTGGCTCAGTTTTAAATGTCTTCTGATTTCAGGACCAAAACTTAAACATGGCAGAAGGTAAAAGCTTGAAGCAAGAGGTTGAGGGAAATGGGGTGTGAGAGTCAAAGGGAATCTAAAGCTTCCACTTGCATGTCACATGTGTCACATACACATTCTGTTGGTCAAAGCAAGTCATATGTCTAAACCCACAGTCATTAATTGGGGAAGTGTCCTCAGCCTGCAGAGAAGGCATGGCAAAGTCACATGGAAAAGGGCATGGGTGTTTAACCCTATTTCCCAGTCTGCTACAATGGTAATTCCCTTCACTCTTCAGCTGCAAGTAGAATTTGTAAACTTGGCCAAAAGAGATTGGAGAGGAAGTTTTCCAGGAGTTGTAAGAGAAGGGAGATGTGCGCGTGGGGTAAACATCCTGCGCGTGGAGCACACAAAGTTGTGCCCTATTGTTTGGAAGTATGCCGTGTACTTCTGTGGCAGTTTGGTTCTGTAGTCAGGGTGACTGTACCTCACTGTCATGGCTAAATGTCCCTTATACTTTCTCTTAACTGCAGCTCTCCTGTTCCTGCTTGGAAGGGAGAATCTTGTAGTAGAAAGTGTGGGGCTCTGTGGGGCTCTGGCCCCTCTTTGCATAGCTCATCTATAGTTAAATGGGATGGATTTGTCAATTCATGGTCGCTTCCCTGATCATTAACTTTTACATGTGAAAACTTAATGCAGTGATTGAATCTTTTACAGAGTTTTTTGTGATTTCTACATTGTATTTTCATTTTTCACTGACATTTTTTTGTCTACTTTTTTCTTGTTAGGTTTCCCTTGTACTATGAGCTAAAGATTGCCTTTGTTATATGGCTACTCTCTCCTTATACCAAAGGAGCAAGTTTAATATATAGAAAATTCCTTCATCCACTTCTTTCTTCAAAGGAAAGGGTAAGCAGTATCAATCATTTCCGCACATCATTTTTTAGAAATGTATATCGACACATGCTTTTATGCTATAACATTAGTGAAAGAACTATATTGTGAGTCAAAAATCCTAGTTTTGGGCTTCTTAACACTATTTCTAGATAAAATTAACACCTATGTTGTTTGTTTCTGTTTTGCCAGGAGATTGATGATTATATTGTACAAGCAAAGGAAAGAGGCTATGAGACCATGGTGAACTTTGGACGGCAAGGTTTAAACTTAGCAGCAACAGCTGCTGTCACTGCAGCAGTGAAGGTAATTTCTCGTTTTCCTTCTTGTCAAAGGTAAAGAAAGGTGGCTTTCTTATCTCAGATTATTATAAAATTATGATAGAATTTTGCTTTCTGCTTATTCTGATACAGAAAAAGACACATAGATACTATTAAAGATATTAACATTTTGTTTTCTATAACTATATATATTTTTTACACCAAGATACATCTCTGATGTAACTATATTTTTAAACTCTTGATTGATTACAAAATGAGGGATAGTTAATAAATAAAACATACCTGAAAATGCCATTTTGTCCTAACTGTTCCAGTTTATAACCTTAAGATAGTTTGAATAAATCACCTTAAGTAAAGATGACCATTCTTCTTTCTCTGTCTTTGGTGTTCTCTCTCTCTCTCTCTCTCTCTCTCTCTCTCTCGATGGCAATATCTTGGTAGGATTTCTGGCTAACTTCTGCAACTCTACTTCAACCAATTTGAGGTAACTGATTATTCAAAATAAGGCATGAAAAATTCTGTTTTTAAAACTTGAATTTTTTTTAGTAAATTACTAATGATATTTGCTGTGTTTGCCAGCCAAGTTATCAAATGAATGCCTTCTGTGAAAATCTGCTTTATGGCTTTTGGATTTCTTTGCATGTTGAAATTGGTGTGGTTTATTTTAAGTACTGTAGAGTAATTGATTTTAGAATATGGTATATAGAAAGAAAACAGGCTTCATATTCAGAAAGTGCTGACTGTGACTTTCTAAGTAAGGATAGGCAGATTACTTAAGTTCTGTATTCCTTAGTTGCTTTGTGCATAAAACATGGTAATAAATCTATCTGTCAGAACATATGTAAAAGCAGTCTTTGCCTGCATATAGCAGGAACCCAGTAAATTTTGGTACCCTGTGTTTACCTCACTTCAAGTAAAAATTTGAATTTACTACTATTAAATTGAGAGTAAGTAGTATTCTGTTTTCAAGTGAGACTATTTTAATTATGTTCAACAAAACAACAATGCTATAAGAAGAAATATTCCAGTTAAATGGTGATTTTATGTAATTGCAATGGTGATAGAATGTAAAATGAAGGTACTTTCACTTTTTCAGAGAGCCGTTTAGCTCAAGCATCAGTTAATATAATTAACAAGATGAAAAATTCAAATTATATATCTAGCAGTGTCATACTGAGGACTAAGTGGAAGTTTATTAATTACACAGCACTATTTTTAAAATAACTGTATTAGTGACTATTAATTCTAGTATAGTAATTACTATAATGAGGTGTATTTTTCCTGTTACTTTGCTTTTGAAGGGTTTTTCTTTTATTAAGATGAGCTAGTAAATAATGCAAACTCCAGATCTGAAGGATGGAGTCTTCAGTACAAGTTCCATACAATACCAAGTACAGTAAATGAAAAGAGTGGCTGACTCTAAACAAAGTCATTGGATACCCCAAAATGTCAAAGATAAGGAGAGAATTCTTTTTTGTTGTTGTTGTTTCTAATTTGAACTCAAGGCCTTCTGCTTACTAGGCAGGTACTCTGCCACTTGAGCCATATCTCCAGTCCAGACAGAGGTTTTTGGGGTTTTTTTAGCTATAAAGAATTTTATTATTGTCCAAAAGTTTTGTTGGGTTGATAGATGGAGCAGTTCATTTTCTTAAATGATTTTTTAAGACAGTCTGTCTGTGTAGCCCAGGCTAACCTCAAACTCATATCCAAGGAGAGAGTTCTTAAAGATATGATAAAAAAAAAATCACATTCAAATGATCTAGAATCAGGATGGCAGTAAATTTCTAAATAGTGACAATGAAAGCTTGAAGGTAGAATAGTAACTTCCGTGATACTATCATAATATTCACCTTCAGGTTCTACAGTGGTCAAGCTTTCAAGAGGTATGAGCCTAGAAGATCTGTTTTGTTTGTTTGTTTTTTTAATTCTACACATGCAAAGTCACAAAATTTACCTGCTGTACATTCTTTGTGAGGCAGATCTGTTTTGCCAAAGCTACAAAATAACCCAAAAAAAGAAACTCGTGAGATCTGGGAAACATGTTATCTAACACAGAGGGAATGCCCAGACAGGATGCTATGCAGCAAGTCCACAGTGCAAGCAGCTCTGGGAGAAGAATGGAGCTGAGGGACTGTAACAGGCTTAATACTGAACAGGGGTGATAATGAACCCAGTCAGAGCACATGCTGGGGCCCATCAGAGGCCTCACTTGGTACAGACAGCTGGTAGCTACACAGCTACTCACCAACCCTGATGAGCACCCTGAAAAAATACATTAGAGACCGTGTAAAGAGGGAGAGCAGGACAACTAAGCAATGAAAAAATAAAAAGCAGAACCATTAACTTTGGGAAAAAAACAGAAGTTATATAAGAAAAGAGAAACGATAAGGGAGCCTGACTCAGCCTAGCAGTGCACAGCATCTGCACTGTTATAATGAGAATACAGACTAAGGATTGATTTAACGACTGTGATTTTGCTATATTGGGAGATGGGGAAAGAGGAAAGAGAGGAGGAAGGAAACTAAAATCCTCAGTGTCAGAATGGGAAAGCAGAGGGATTAAACTGTTCCATTTGCAGTAGGGTTAAGAGGATAAGGGACTAAGGGCCTGCCGCTTTTCATTTGTTACAGAGGCTAGCTTTATTAACCTCACAAATCAGGTATTTATTTACATACCAATGAGTATGTCTTCACAATTTTTCTTATTTAAAAGCATTGTTCGACATGATTCTATGGAGAAAAAGTGAAAATTAAATTTTAACTTCAAGATTTGTTTAGAAACAGACATTTAAGGACATTATTTTAGTAAAGATAGAGGTGATTCTCATTTTTTTAATATAGTTTGTGATCTTGCTCTTCTGTGAGACACCTTTCTGCATATTGTGACTATTTTGTGAACTTCGTACTTTATCTTGACTTACATTTACTACTTCTAGACTCTCTGTGTGGAGAATCATCAATCCCCACTGTATTATCTTTCCCTTATTCCCTCCTCATTTATTTTTATTTTATACTCTGCCTTCATCAGGATAGCATTCTACCTATCATTTATTTAGCATCTGTTTATTTAATGCCTCCTACAGCCAAGGTGCTGGATATGTAACAGTGGATAAGATAGACAGGGTTTCTGCCTTTGTAGGCTACTGTCTGGATATAGTTAATGCCTATATTCACTAAATGAAAAAAAAATTGTTTTTGGCAGTACTGGGGTTTGAATTCAGGCTTCTCACTTGCCAGGCAAGTGCTCCACCCATTTGAGGCACACCCTCAGCCCTCTTTGTTTTATTTTCCAAATAGGGACTCAAGTTTTTGCTCAGGCTGGCCTGGACCGTGATCCTCCTACTACAGTCTCCTGTGTTGCTGGGATCATAAGTACATGCCACCATGCCCAGATCATTGGTTGAGATGGGGTTTCACACTTTCCTGCCCAGACTGGCCTCAAACCTCAATAGTTTCAATCTCTGCCTCCCAAGAAACTGAAATTACAGGTGTGAACCACAGTGCCTGGTCCAACTAACTGAAAATTTTAAGCCACCTTTCCTTGCAAAGACCCCAACCCATCCTCTATTATTAAAGTAAGCATTATTATCTCACAGAAATACTTTTTCTATAAAATTATTGTAAAAGTAACCTATATTTCTCTAGCTGCTATCTCCTTTGTGATTCATTGATTTTATTAATATACTTAACACCTTAAAATTACCTCTCCAGGGCTGGTGGAGTGGCTCAAGAGGCAGAGCGCCTGCCTCGTGAGTGTGAGGCCCTGAATTCAAACCCCAGAACCTGAAAAAAAAAAAAATTACCTTTTCACCTCCAAAGGCAAGAAGCAGAGAACATAAAAACAAAAATCATCACAGCTACTCCTGGAAAATAAAGAGAAATGCATATCCCATAGTTAAAATTCCTTTGGGAATGATAGTCCCACTGGTTTGTGATATTGTGATTCTTTTATCAATAAGATCTCTATTAAAAGTAACCTTTCCCTTTCTCATGATGAGTGCAGGAATAAAGTGCTCATTAAATATGCTGAACACTGCATAACATTAACATTACTGCCTCAAGTTATATAGCACTCATTTTAAAATAGCTGAAATTAGTTTCACCTCTGGAGATGTCAGAAAAAGGGAGGGGTTTGTCATAGGAGAATCATTGAACTAGACACTCCATAGTCAAGAGTAAGTTGAAACTGAAATAAGAAATAGGTCAAGTTTAAGGAGAATCTGCAAGAATGCCAATTGTAAGGCTTGAGCATTACAAATTTAAAATTTTACAGTATGCGGTTTGTTAAAAATATCTTTCAGGCTGAAAATCCTTGGACTCTTGTGACCTTTAGAGGACAGTAATATCTCTGACAAGGTTTCCCAGGCTGATCCTCCTGTGCATGTTAAAGATGAAAATAGGAATCTAATCAGAACATTTATTACACTGTAAAGCAGTTTTCTGAAAATGTTACCCAGTTCTCCAACCTCATTATCAGGCATCTGTTCACAAGGTCAGTGTGCAAGTTTATTTTGGCTGAGCAAGGCACAAATATGTGAAGGGCCTTCAAGGAATTCCGTAGCTTTTCACATGAGAAATACAGATAAATTTTATATGGACAAGGAACACTTCTGCCATGAAGGACAGGGGAAGAAAAGTACTATTGGTCCTATTGACCATCTCTGAATTTTCACATGACTTCTTTGGAGACCAAAAAAAAAAAATCAATCATGATAGAAAGTAGACTTTTATGGTAAGTTGCTGAAGTCCAGTTGACTTTAAATTATCATCATTAAGTCGAAAATGCTGATATCATGGCTTGGAGCCATGGCTTAAGTGGTGAAGCGCCTGCCAGGCAAGTGCAAAGTCCTGAGTTCAAACCTCAGTACCTCCAAAAAAAAATAATAAATCCTGACATCCTGCTTTCTGCTTTAAAAAGCTTTCTATTTGTGAAAGGATTTGAGACTATTCAGCTGCTTAGTAGTATCATCCCCTGAAAAAGGCAGCATTTGTCTAGACAATGGAAAAGAAAGCTTGTACTATTTTCCCTACACTCTGGGGAAGCAGACTGGTATATTGAATATTGAATTCTAAAGCAGTCAAATTAATCAGCTTTTTTTTTTTAGTTCTGATACTGCCACTAATTTGTCAACAATCAATAAGAAATAGAGTTCAATAGCTGTACCTTATTGAGTGGGATAGAAAGAACTCTTCTGTAAAAGAATGTTTTTTGCAAGGTTATAAAGCATCACTGAATACGAAGAAAATACGTTGAATGTTTTACATGAAGGTATGATAAGCACAATAGAGTCTCCTGTCTAACATAAAGTAGTGTTAATGTGATGTCTAACCAGAACATAAGTATTTAGACAAAGACAGAATTATTTGAATATAAAGAAGTTAGAATTAGCCTTGTACTTAGATGCTTGAGCGGACAGTCAGATGTCCTCCTGTGCCTGTAGATGTAAATGAGCTCTGGGTAGAGCTAGTTCAGGGAGTGGTTTCTGTGCTGAGGAATTCTCCCCACAGCTTGAGCATGTGAGGTATGGACCCAGCCCTTCTGTCCAGCCAGCCCCTACCGTGCTCTCATTTTCTTAAGTGACATTTGAGCCCATCCACATCCAAACCCTGAGCCAACGGGAGTTTAAAAGGTTTAGGAAAACTGTGAATGATGGTCAGCTACATGGTAAATTATTCCACAGACTACAGAATAGTTGTAACTTTTGCATTCTCATCTTAATCTTTCTACTACTTCCTCTTTGATTTCTAAGATCAGTGTTTTTGGAGGGGTTTGTTTGGTTGGTTTTGTTTTTTTGGTGTTGGGTGTGGTTTTGAGAAACGATCTTCCTAAATTGCCCAGGCTGTCCTAGAATTCAAAATCCTTCTGCCTCAGCAGCCTCCCGAGTGCTGGGATTACAGATATACACCACCAGGCCTGGTTAGGATCAGATTTAACATAAACAGTGTACATATGATTCTACAGAGAAAAGGATTTAAAGTGCTAGGTGTAGAATTATCTTGTGGGTGGTGACCTCCTTCTTGGTTGACTTTGTTTCCAAACATTTTCCCTCTCAAACTGGAACCTTTCTTCATCTTTCTTATCCTTTTGACTTAATATATAAACCAAATAAAAGAAAATAAATAAAACATTATTAATTAAACAAAAGCAGAACACCTCTTAACATTGTTTCAGACAAGTGATATAATTCCCTATTTGTGCCCTCCAAAGAGAATTGTTTTTCTTTCAATAATAGGAATAAAGAGCTAGATACAGAAAACCTGAGTGACAAATGAACCAGAAAGTCTTACAGTGTACTATGTTATTACAACTGAAACTTCACTGAACCATCTCTGACTAATTTGTAATATTAAAGAAATAGTTGAGGGGGGGATCACCCATCACACCAAGGCACGGTGCCTCATGCCCACAATCCTAGCTACTTGGGAGGCTGACATAGGTAGGATCATGGTTTGAGGCCATCCTGGGCAAGACCCCATCTCCAAAAATAACCAGAGTAAAATGGACTGGAGATATGGCTCAAGATACCCACGACTATACCTATAGTTTTGCTGCTGAATTTCTGTGTATAAACTCCAGTGTTCAGCCAGGCACTAGCCGCCCACTCCTATATAGACTTAGCTACTTGAGAGGCTAAAATTGGGAGGATCTTAGTTCAAGGCCACCCTGACAAATACTTCAAAAGACCTACATCTTGAGCCACTCCACCAGCCCTTTCTTTTTTGTGATGGGCTTTTTCAAGATAGGGTCTCACAAACTATTTGCCTGGGCTGGCTTTGAACCTTGATCCTCCTGATCTCCACCTCCTGAGTAGCTAAGATTACAGGCATCAGCACCTGGCACTTATTACATTATTAATATCAGAACCATACCAGATGTACTAAGAGAAGAGAAGAAACCAAAGATTTCTCCCTCTACTCTACTTTCTTAAAATCTTGCTCTAGAGGCAAATACACATAGCTCAACAATAGAAGTAACAATAGGGACTAGAGGTATGCCCAAACAGTAGAGTGCCTGCCTAGTAAGCTTGAAGTCCTGAATTCAAACGCCAGCACCATGGGGGAAAAAAAAGTAACATTAAGGTGCCAAAGCTTGTAGATATAATTATTAAGTTAGACTGATTTAATGACATTTGAGTCATTATAAACAGCCTTGCAAATTGCACCTGAGCAGGTAGAAGGTATCACACGTAATATGTTAATGAGCTTTCCATTACTATAATAAAATGGCTAAGATGATCAACTTTAAAAGAGAGAAGATTTATTTTGGCTCACAGTTTTAGAGGTTTCAGTCCACCATTGGTTAGTCCTATTGCTTGGACCAATGGCAAGGCAGCATATAGTCTTAGAGCAAGCTCCTCACCTCATGGCACCAGGAAGCAAAGACAGGAAGGGAAGGGTTGGGGACCCCACTGGCCCCTTCACAGGTACACCCTAATCACTTGACTTCCTTCCAGTAGGCCCCACCTCTTAAAGGTTCTACTACCTCTCAATAACTCCATGGCTTGGGGCCAGTCCTATAACACATGGGCCTTTGGGAGACATTTAAGATCCACACTATAAGCCTGGTAGTTTGAAGTCAACCTCAGGCAAGAGATCCTGTCTCAAAAAAAACCCATCTCCAAAAAAAAAAGGCTGGTGGAGTGGCTCAAGCAGTAAGAGTGCCTGCCTAGAGATAAAACCCCAGTACTACCACCCCAAAAAAAGAAAAAGAAAAAAAAGATCCAAACTATAACACATAGACATGCATGCTGTGTGTGTGTGTGTGTGTGTGTGTGTGTGTGTGTGTGTGTGTGTGTGTGTGCAGGTACAAAGAATGGCTGAGAGGGCACAGAAATACAAAGGTAAGATAAGGAGAACTACCGTTCTGAGAAAACAAGGCCTGTTTCAGATGAGCACTGGTCACTTCTTTGCAATGTGTCTGTGAAGTGTCCTGCCAACCATCTGTTTAATAAGTACATGATATCTGGCAAAGAGGAAGCAAGTATAATAAAACCATGCCAAGAATATTTTTAAATGTGTGAAATCCAATTATTTTTATGGAGAAATAGGCTCTTTAACAAGCCTTATCACAGTCAAAAAATATAGTAGAAATGCAAAGTGCAAGCAGGGTATAGAAATGACATTTGGTTTTGACACAACATTGTATCAATAACCTAGAGTACTGAATTGAAGCTCCCCTAATCAAGACCTTTTTGTTCAGGGTAAAATACAAGTTAGCAGAAGTGCCCAAATGTTTGTAGCACCTTTGACTTTGAAACTTAGGATGAAACATTATGGATGAGTTTCTATGGTAACATTTTAACTAGAGGCAATAATAAATTCACATGTGTGGAAAGAAGAAATAATAAGTGTAAAAAGCCTTCAGAAGAATATTTTTAATCTAGCTATAAATAAGAAATTAGTCATCTATATATGCTGTGCAAATTTAAAGTGAGTAAATTTAGGAATTTTTTTTACAAAGCTGTATAGTTTGGGGGTACTATGTTTATATCTGAAAAGTTCAGAAAATGTCCCTGTCAGAACTGTGCAGTGATGGAATTCATTGAACCTTCTGTAGCGGTGGAAGTGTTCTCTATCTGCACCGCCAATACTGTGTGTACCCACCAGACCCGTGCACTACTGAGCATTTGGAATATGACTAGTGCAGTTGAGGAGCTGAATTCTTACTTCCTTTTAATCAATTTATATTTAAATATCCACGTGTCCAAGGCCTACCATATTGTTAAGGCGAAATAATGTGAAGTCCCGCTGGATAGTAGTAAACATGCCTTACAGATAATGAATTCATTGACTAGATATCATTTTATATCCAAAATTCTTTGGCTCTTAACTTTTCTACCTTGTTCTAGGTAAAATTATTACCACTTCTGACTTGGCTTAGCTTTGAAACAGTGTCCTTATTTTGAGAAGTTTTCTAACATCATACACTTTATCATTAACCCAGAGTACTAAATCAAGGCTCAAGATTATGGAAGCTATTTTCTCTGAGAGCAGTCTCATCAGACATTTTACACGTGTTTAAGCTATTATAATGCTGAAATGCTTGAAGTACAGATGTACTAGTGTCTATGAGGACTTACTTTGAAATTCATAAAAAAATCAAATAGATTAATCGATGGCTAGAGATCAGATGTGCTGAAAAGCAAATATAGCCGGCTGTAAATAATACATGGTGTTCACTACACAAGTCTTCAACTTTTCTGAAAATTTTATAATAAAATGTTAAGGATGTTATTAATGTAACAAAGTATTATTTTGTTTCTGAACAAAATGTCAACATTTAAAATGTTACATGTAAGCATATTAAATATTTTAAAGTGTTTTTTCTTGGATCTGCCTCTTCTCTATTAAATAGAGTCAAGGAGCAATAACAGAGCGTTTACGAAGTTTTAGTATGCATGACTTATCAGCTATCCAAGGTGATGAGCCTGTGGGACAAAGACCCTATCCGCCTTTGCCAGAAGGAAAAAAGAAGAGCAAGGCAGTCCCCAGTGAATCAGCAGGTGTGCTTTTCTATTTTAATTTATGATCCCTTTCATAATCGGGCTTGTGAGTCTAAGTGGGTACTAAATACATGGTAACTGTCTGAATTTACTTTTAAGCTTAAAATTTACTTTTAAACTTATATTGTTGAGTTTTGCATTTAACAGTAGCCCCTTTTCCTCTAAATTTTCTCAAATAGGATTAGTACTTGCCTTTTTCTGACCAAGGAAATCATTCAGCTAAGGAAATAATAGTAGCCTCTTGTGCTGCCCTGAGTTTTTCAAAGCTTGTGTGGTTACCTCCTCACCACCAGCACTAGTTGTAACCTGTGATCAATATTCTCTCTACTCACACTGTGTACTGACATCTAAGGAGTTTTAGAGTTAACCACTCTTTCCTGTAAGTGCTGTGGACAAGTAAGGTTATTGACTCATAAGATGAAAAGTTCAATCGGATGACGAAAGATGTCTCAACTTGAAAGCAGGGTTACTCCAGGGGAAATGTGTTGTAATTGCATATTCTGGTTCAAGAGCTAACTTACAGGCATATACACTATAAATTATAAGCATGTCATAGCTGCCATATTCTGTAACCTTAATAAACTATTGTGATCTTGGAAGCATACAAGTAAATAAGACATAGTTCCTTTATCATTTTGTCACATATAAGAAAGTTTTAATTCAAGGCAAGTCTGTGAACCAAGACTGTGTTAAGTCCATTAGGTTCAGGACTATTTACTATTTTCTTTCATGGCTCACACCTGTATCCCAGCTACTTGGGAGTCAAAGAGTAGAAAGATTATGGTTTGAGGCCAGCCTTGGCAAAAAGTTAGCAAGACCCTCATCTCAACAAATAAACTAGGCATAGTGGTACCTAGCTGTAATCCCTGCTACCCAGGAAACGTAGGTAGGAGAAGAGAGGTCTAAGGCTGGCCCCAGCACAAAAAAAGGGCTGGGAGTATGGCTCAAATGGTAAAGCACCTACCCACCTGGCAAATACAAAGCTCTGCATTCAAACCCCAATTTTGGGGTTTTTTATTCTTTCAAACAGAAGTTCTGTTTTGAAGGAGATTTTAAAATCATCCTTTATAATTAAAATAATTGAAAAGTAAAATAACAGCCCCCTCCTTAAAAAGGAAAAATAATGGAATTTCTTCCATGTTCTCCCCAAAATGAACAACTTTACAGAGTTGATGACTATTATATAAAATGTACTAATCGAACAGTGGATTCTGGCTAAGGTAGTGATGCCTTTAAGAAGCAAGAACCATTGAGCTTTGTAAAATAGTTCCTATTCATTTTAATATGCATTTAAAATTAGTCTGTGGATTTTGAAATTAACAGTTTATTGATAATTATATTTGAATGGTTTATCAACAGTTTCTGATGTAGTATATTCTGGGTTATGTTTGAACTCAGGGCCTCATGCTGAGAATTATATTTTTGGGGGTGAGGATATAGCCCAGTGGTAGAGCACTTGACTAATATGTGCAAGGCCTGAGTTAAATCCAAAGCACCAAAAAAAACCCTAAAAGTTATATTCTAAGAATCTAAGTGAAAACAGGATTATAAATGAAGAAATACTATTATTTTATGACATTTTTATGATACTGCTCTATTAAATTTAAAATAGTGTGACTAAAATATTTTAAGATACTACTAGATGCTATTTCTTTTTTTAAATTTCAAATTATGAAATCTAAATAACTTAAGATTTATAAAAATAACTGATGTTAGGATAACTGCTAGACTTAGAGGGTAGGCTATAAACTGAAGCTATACCTCTACTTCAAACCTGCCATCAAAAATTTTTTTGTGGTACTGGGATTTAAACTCAGGGTTCTCTACTGCTTGAGTCTTATCTCTAGCCCTAGATCTTTTTTTTTTTGTTTTTTCTTTTTTGCTTGAACTCCACCAGCCCTTTTGTTGTGTGTGTGTGTGTGTGTGTGTGTGTGTGTGTGTGTGTATGTGTATGTGTGTATGTGTGTGTGTGTTGTGTGTGTGCGTGTGTTAGGTAGTTTCGAGATAGGATCTCGTGAACTTATTTGCCTGGGCTGGCTTCGAACTACCATCCTCCTGATCTCTGCCTCCTGAGTAGCTAGGATTATAGGTGAGAGCCACTGGCACTCAGCCACCCCTAGATCTTAATCTTTTAAAAACTTATTGTCAGCTGGGATGTAGCTCAAGTGGTAGAACATCTGCCCAGCAAGCATGAAGCCCTGAGTTCAAACCCCAGTACTGACAAAAAATAATAATAAATTTTTTAAAAGATTAAGTTCTAAAAGTAAGAAACTAAGCCACATACTAGGAAATTGTTATGTGTATTTTTATTCTTAGTATAGGTAATCTTTTGTAAGCCTGACATCAAAATCAGAAAGCATAACAGAAAAGTTTAAGAGCTCTTTCTACACTAAAGAAAAAAAAAAGTACTGGTGGAATGGCTCAAGCGATAAGAGTACTTGCCTAGCAAGTGTGAGGACCTAAGTTCAAACTCCAGGACCATCAAAAAAAAAAATGTCATGCAGGAGCCGGCCATCAGTGGCTCATGCCTATAATCTTAGCTACTCAGGAGGCAGATATCAAGAGGGTCAAGGTTGAAAGCCAGTCCCAGGCAAATAGTTCATTAGACCGTATCTCAAATACCCATCACAAAAAAAGGGCTAAGCATGAGACCCTGAGTTCAAACCCCAGTGCTGCCCAAAAAAACAAAAAAGAAAGAAAGAAAAAAAAACCTCAAAGAGGAAAAAAGACAAACTGTCAGAAAGGGCTGGGGACATGACTCAAGTAGTAGGAGCCTGCCTAGCAAGCTTGAAGTCCTGAGCTCAGCACAGTGAAAGCCCCAGTACAGTGAAATAAAAAACAAGCTGTCAGAAATATTTCCATTACATTTTACAGGCAAAGGATTCTGATTTTTAACAGTCTAGGAACCCTTGCAAACCAATTATTGCCAACTCTACCAAAGAGTCTAGCTGACCAAGAAATACATGGAAAAAGACTTCCAGCTTCAATTAATATAGTGATAATGTAATTTTTGTTCATTGGGTTGGCCCACTGTTTTTAATTAACAGTGCTTTGTATTGGTAACTCGTAGTTATCTATTGCTGGGTAACAAAACATTTGTCAGGAGTGAGGGGGTGGGGACTGGATTCAGCAAAGCAGTTCTTGTTCAGGGTCTATGCAGCTGTGGTCAGACAGCAGCTGGACTGGATCAAACATAAGGTAAGAAGAGTTCACAGATGTCTGAGCCGGGAGCTGTCAAACAGCAGGTGGGGAGAATGACAGCCTGTCAGACGTGTCTCTGTGTGGTCTTAGTCTCTGAGGGTAACTGGACTTACCGGTCAGCTGAAAGCTTCCACAGCCAGTGTCCTGAGACACACTGCAGAAGCCTTGCAGTGTGACTTTGCCATATTTGCAGTAGTGATTTGTTGAGGCAGGTATAAAGGCCTATAAGATTTAAGGGCCAACCTGGGCTTCATAGCCAGAACCCATCTCAAACCTCCTCGCCCCTCCCCCCAACAAAACCGTATGTGTATTATAATCCTGTACTATAGAGATAGGTAGATGACAAAATGGAGTAATATATGCAAGTTACTTTTTAATTATATATACACAGAAGAAATTCTGTGGGTATAACTAAAATATTAACAATGTTTAGCTCTCAGTGGTGGAATTTTTTTATGATTTTTTTTAATTTATGACTCTTAAGATCAAAAATAAAACAATAGTTACTCTTATTTTGGAAAATAATTAAGATAATTCCTTTTAGGCTTTAAGTAAAAAATGTATATTTTAATGAAATAATTTGACTTGATTTGGTACCTCTCTGTCTCTCTTCAATTGGGATTGGTTTAACAAATTGCTAGATTAAACCTGTCAGTTTCACTTCTTAATAAATCCCACATTTCACTACTGTTGGCACTTACTCCTTGGACTGTGTCATTTCTAGCCTTCTCAGTAAAGCTCCCTTCTTTCAGTCTCATCTATTTCTAATTCATTCTCCAAAATACAAGAAGAATTTTCTACAGAGCTAATCATGTTACCCTTCTGGTTAGCTTACTTCAGTCCTTACCCACACCTGCCATTTCCCTCTGATGAAGTCCAAATCTGACAGCCTTACATGTTAGCTCCCACTATCAAGTCCCAGCTCTGTAGAATCGTGAGCCTTTCAGAATTTAGTTTATCCACTAAGCTAAGACTTCCTGTAAGGTCTTTACAATCCATTCCCCCATCCCAGGCCAAATTAATTCTCTTACTAAATGCTACCATAGCACCTTGTCCTTGTCTCCTATTTATAGCATTTATTTCAGTATTGAAATGCCCATTAGCATCTGTTTCTTTGTTGGACTCTAAGTTTCTTGAGGGTGGAAAGAAACAGCTGTGTCTTTTTTATGACTGTAGCCCCATAATTTAGCACACAGACTCAAACATAATAGAATTTTTAAAAGACTTGTGTAATAGCAAGTTAAAACATCACTTTTCCTGAGATTGTATTTAGAAAACCAATACAATTATTTTTCTAGTGGAAATTAAGAAAAAGGAAAGGACTAGGACATACAATCAACTTTTGAATGAAATTCTAATTCCTAATACAAGATGAGAAGCAATTAAAATAGCAAGGACTATGTTAATTGAACTGTAATCTTGGACTACATCTGTGTCCTTTTTATACACCTGCTTCCTTTCTGTCTCTTTCCTTGAGTCCTTCTGTTTTGGGATCAGGAATATTATATAAGCAACAGCACAGAAAACTAATATAGGTAGGGAGTGTATCTCAGTGGTAGATTAATTACCCTAGCTTCTGCAAGGCTTTGGATTCTATCCTCAGAAGTGAACAAACAAATAACACCTAGAAATAACAACTTAAAAATATTTTTTTCTGGTTTATTTTCCACAATTACAGAGTAATTGTTAGTTTTAAATAAAACTTGGCAAATGAGCAAAGGAAAAATGAAGAAATGTAAAATTACCTAAAAGCCCGTTTCCATGAGATATCATGGTTTCTTTTTGATAGTTTTCCTTGATTTGTTTCTATATGTGCTTTCCCCCGTGCGCATACAATCCTGTATCAGGAGTGTTTTCCCAGGATTGTGACCCTGTGCCCACTCTGACCACATTGACCTCTTTGCATTTCTTCCAAGCAGTCTTGCTTCTCTGCTCCCCTAGTCCTCCGCCTGCACTTTGTCTTCTCCCCAGGACACACTTTTGACCGCTGCAGAAAAACAAAGGATCTTGGCTTAGAAGTCTGGCAGCATAAAATTGTACTTGCCTAATATACAATTAAAGTTGTTTATGTTGTTATGAGAGGAAGAAGCTTATTAACAACCGTTCATGGTTTGCATAGGGAGTCTCAGATTATCCAAATCCTGGGAGAGCAGACTAATAAACTTTTATCAGTGTATTTTTCTTCACATGTAAGAGGTCCATCCTGAGCCTTGGAAACCCTACTTTTCCCTCACAAGATGACCTCAGTATTTATGCTCCTTATCTTTATTAAAGGAGAAATAGAAATTTCATGAGGCTTTGTAACCTTCCCAGTACTCTGGCTCTCACCAGGAAGCTCAGGCCATGGTTCTCAAAGTGGGGGTTCAAGATAAGCACCACCCAGGGACTTGCTAGAGATGTACATCTCTGCCCACTTCAGGCCTGCTGTGGGGATGAAGCCAGCAATCCTTGTAGATAAGTTCTCCTGGTAATTAAGACATGTTAAAGATGAGAATCTCTGCTTCAGGGATGGGAGAGTTCTTGGCCCTGCAACACAGCCTTCCTTAAAATAACCAGCCTGCCTGGATGTTTGCAGATTGGCCAACAGTAAGGAAGTCTTTACAGCTACACACAACTCCCTGTTAGCATACCCACATCATCCCTACTGACCTTCTTCATGCTGTCTGCTTTATCTGACCTACATCTGTTATAGCCTGTGGTGTTGCCAGTTCCTGCAGCTCATTTGGCTGCATTTTATCTCAGCAGCTACAACAGGTTGGTCTCCATACCGCTCCCCCTCCCTCTCAAATGAACTTATCTTGCCCAAAGTTGTATTCCCTCTGGGTCTTCCATGGTTCACCCTACCATTCCCATTCCTGACAGGAGATGGGGTGGGGGGGTGTTAATTCCTACTTAAAGTCAAAGACACAAATGACAAACAAAACACGCAAATACTTGAGTTGTTTAGAATTCATGAAAAGGAGAAAGAGTAAGAAGAGCGGTCACAACAATATATCTAGTTATAGTCTCTGATTTTTTTTTTAGCAAGATGAAAGATGTTATCTATTCAAAAATAAATTGTTCTTTAATTTTAAAATGCACAGTAAAAATACAGGGAAAACTTCCTGGAGAAATGAGTTCTGATCTTCATCTAAAATAGTGCAAAGAGCAAAGATTTATGACATGGGGCAAGAGAGCACATTCCAGATGAGAGAGAGAGTAGTAATTGGGCAAACACCAGACATGCAGAGAACTGCAGACAGATGGTGCCGTGAAGAGCCAGTGCTAACTGGTGTCCTCTTACCAAACATGCTGTTTTTGACAACTTGTTTAGCTTATGGAATTCCACTGAAAGAAGGAGGTGAGAAAACAGATGAAGAAGTGGATGGGCCATATTCGGATGATGAGATGTTAACACACAAAGGGCTTCGAAGATCCCAAAGCATGAAATCTGTGAAAACCGTCAAAGGCCGCAAGGAGGTCAGTCAAGTATTAAGTTGTTTTTTCTAATCATTAGTATTTGAGAATTTCCCTGCTATATGATCATTAAGGGTATCAACAACCCATAAATGAAGGATTGGAATGACAGAACAGCAGGTACATATCAACTTCTTTATTCCAATCAAATGTATTAGGATCTCTGGAAAAAATTTTTTTCTTCAAATTTTGAAAATGACAAATCACCTGGTTTTTATAAATACCCAAGTGCCAGCCCTATGCACAAACAAAAAGAGCTGCTAACAAAGTTAGCAGCATAGTTTTGCTGTCAACCACTCTACATGATGATAAACAGCAGATCACCCATAATATATTCTCTTTGTGCTTAGAAATGAGTAGTGGCTGACATTATACTAAGCAAAGAATAAATAACAAGTTTCATGTTTTTATATTATAAAAATATAATCTGCATATATCCAACATAGTATAAACTGCATTTTTATGGGTATACAAGTAGTGCTATTTTGCATATACTTAAAAATAATTGATTTATTATGTCAGAAAGGTTAAAAATTTCCATGGTTATAAACTTATTAAATCCTATTTAATTTTAAAAAGTGATCTATTTGTTAATAATATTTGTCTCTCTTCAGGTGCGGTATGGTTCACTAAAATATAAAGTGAAGAAGAGACCACAGGTGTATTTTTAGTCATCTGCACTTCAAATATCCCAAGAAAAGTAATGATGGGGATTGTAGCTCATTTTCTAACAGGATATATTCAGGATTTACACATTAAAATAACTCTTTAAATTGTGGCAGTGATAAGATTTACTTTCATGAATTTAAATAGTTTTTATTTCTTTAACAATTGCTTTCAAATATTGGCTACTAAAGGTAGTTATACAAGGTTTATTAATATATGTATCAGAAGTTATAGAAGACCATGTTAGCTGTTTTCAGATTCATAGACAACCTTGAGTATCTGGGATATAAGCTGAAACACAGACCCAGACTATACTTGAAAGAGTCTTTATGGTTCAGAATACACCAACCTCTGCGGTATAGCATTCTGCTTACCTCCATCTGTGTTATATCTACAACATGAGGATAGTAATTAAAGAGGCCTCTGATCAGGCAGTGACATAACAAGGACATAATGTAAGATAATAAAGTGTCTTTTATATATTCTTTGAGTTTTCACTTTTATAATACTTTCTACTTTTTCCACCATTACCTGAAAGTTTCTGAAACAAATATTTGAAAACCAGGTGTCCACAAAGCACTTTCCTGACTAGTTTTGCACATTTGAAAATTGTTTACTTATTTTACAAGTGTACATTTACTTTAAATTTTATTGACACTGTCTTTATTGTTGTTTGTCATATTCTGACAAACATCATCTTGAAATGCCTTGAAATACATCATCTCTTCTTCCTGTGAGCTTCATTTGTTAAATTCATTGGATTTATAATATAAAAATATAGCTTTTTTTTCTTCTAATTATCTTCTTTACAAAGAGAAGTTATTTTAAACATTAACCAGTTTTTCATATTTGGCTGTGCAGTGTAGTTGAATTTAGCATGTTTTTATCCACACCAATTACATTTTCAGCTTTTAAAAATGATATCTTTTGTGAAAGAGTCAGAGAGCTAACAGGTATCTTCTAATGCATAAAAATATCCAATAACCAATCCATTCACAATCTTGCTGTAGATACATGCTGTTGTTCATGAATCTGGCATTGACTAAAAGCATTTCAGTCTTTTTCTGGCTGTGATAATTCTCTTAAGATGAGTGCCAATGCAAAATACAGACATAGTATGTATTTGTGATCCTACATATCACAAGCTATTAGAAAAGTATCACTTTTTTAATTCAAGAGATTTGAGGGTGTTGAATTCTGAGACTTTTTTAGGTTGCACTAATATCTATGAACCCTAAGTCAATATATATTTGGTGATGGTCTTAGTGATCCGTAATAGTATTTATATTTACTATGCTTGTTCAGATAATCTACTTGACCATTCTACTAGTTTGCCCAAGAGAGAACGCAATGTGAGAGATTTGTGAGATTTTTTTACCTTTCTACATTTTAAGAAACAAAGCCAGCTGGTAATGTATACGCAGGGCCTCCTCAGAGTACTAACTGAGAATAGAATGTTTACTAGGAGTACCTTAGTGTAAAGTCACATGGCCTCTTGATAGTAAGTAGTCATGATATTTTCTAGACTATCTCACATTCTTGATGCATTCAATTTTTTTTTCCTCCCAAAGTTTAAGTCTGTGAGTATCTCCCATTTTCTTTAACCTGAATTAATTTTTGGCCTCTTAGTTTCTGGAAGGACTCTTTAATTTCTATTGGGAATTCCTATGAACTCTATTAAACTCTTACCAGAGAGGGTTATTTATTTTGCCTTCTTCTTGGCCTTTCCATATAAATGCTACACCATGCTGTTTTTTATACATGAAGGCAACATCAATTCACATTGCCTGATAAGGTCATGTAAGTGACTTTGCATCAATAACATTGTTTGTTGGGACTGATTGGTACCATTTTATCTTTTTCAAGTCTAATATTAATACTAAAACCTATCCACTGGGGCAGGGGATATAGCTTAGTAATAGAAGGCATGCTTAGCATACACAGGTCCAAGTCCCTGGGTTCATACACCAAACCAAACAAAAAAAAAAGCACCCAAAAATACCAGTTCTTTAATAAACTCATAATAGTCTAAGTCCTGTTGAATTGTACGCCTTCACATTCCCAGACCTCCCCCAGTGTATTGCTGCTGTAGCCATTCCTGAACATTATTAATAGCATTTTGTTCTGCCATTTTCTTTCTCTCATTTTTCATTTATTAAATTTTGGTTCTGTCCCTTTAGTGTGTTTTAGCTTATACATATATATGTTTTGTTGTTGTTGTTTCTAAGGTGGAAAAGGATTGAGTCTCTCTCTTTCTCTCTCTCTCTCTCTCTCTCTCTCTCTCTCCCCTCCCTCCCTCCCTCCCTAAGTCTCCTGATTTTAAGAGATGTAAATTTATTTAGAGACCACAGTGCCTTGCTTTTCCCTCACTGCCACCTGAGGCATGGGTATTAGATGCACAAACTCATTTTGGGCACTATTTTGGTAGCTGTTGGAATTTATCCAGAAATTATAGACTACTGATATTTTAATTTTACTATACATTCATTCAGCTTGATCACTAATACTTAAGTATTTCCCACATTCATTTCAGGATAAGAATTGATCTGTTGTTAAGTGTATCTTTTTTTTTTTTTTTTCTGGTATGAACAGGATCCAGAAGGCCTGGTAGAGTGGCTCAAGTAGTAGAGATCCTGCCTGGCAAATGTGGGGCCCTGAGTCTAAAACCCCAGTACTACAAAAAAAAAAAAAAAAATAGCATCCAAAAATAAGCCTGTTGCTAATTAATATGTAAACCCAACCTAGGTTCTGTAAAAGATCCCCTCGGCACACAAGTGTATATGTGAGTATCTGGCTAAAATGATTCTGCCAGCATTACTAATTATAAATAGTTGACTATGCTGATTGATGGGACAAAATTATTGTAGTATTTTCAGGGATCTTCCATATGTTACCACCAAAGATTTCTACAGTGTTATAAAATATGTAAATAGTCCAAATTTCTATAAAATAATTGGTTAAATGTGCTTGCTTTCTTTTTTCAGAATAACACTTTTTGTACTTTTGGAAAATGCTTGAACTCTTTTGTTAAAATGTATAATACTATCATATAAATAATTTTGTTTTTTAATTGGGATAGGCTAAATTTTCACTTCTTACCTTTTGTCAGGAAAATTAACCAGCTAATATATATTTAAAAGCAATTTCCTATATTTTCTCCCTTTGTATGCTGATTTATTTGTGAAGCAGTTAGGTAAATTTTGAGATCAATGTTATGTGGTATGTAGTATGTATTTCTTAGTAAACATCACTTATGATTAAAGCTTCCTCAAAGGAAAGTACAGCTTTTTTCCCTAAATGTTTTAAGGTTTAAACTTTTAGAAGTATTCTACAGATTTATTATGTATTAACCCTTTTTTAACATTGACCATGATGTTACATTTTATCTTCTAACCTTTTGTTAAATCTGTGTACTTTAATAACTAAGAAAAACTTATTTTAAAAAATGTTAATCTCTTTGTAAAGACTGTTTTTATGCCTTTGTGGTGACTTTGCAAGTATATATTTTTTGAAAACTTTAAAATAAAATAAATTCATTTTATTAGTGGCAGTTTGTATTTCTTTTTTTTAAAATGTTCAGGTACATATTTTGGATTTCATAAATTGGTATTATTAAATATATTTTGATTAAGTAATGGACAATCTAAACATATACTTAAGATTACAAATCATATGGCAAATTATTAAAATGATATACATCTGTAATGCCCATCTATAGGACTACAAAAGAATCTCTGAATTATTAAATTTGAATGTTAGAAAGGGAAGGTAGGAAAAACAGTGGGTACAGAAACTTTAGCCATCAGTTGATTGGTTAGCTGTCTCAGGCATAAAATATATCAGAAAATTCAGATTTATGCATCCTGGAAATGTTCTGAGTTCCATCTGTTTGAAAGTCAGGCGTCTGTGTGGCTCACATTTAAGCATTAGAGAGAAATCCTATGTTTAAAAAGTTTCCTTGTGTTACTTCATTATGATATGTAATGTACGTTAAAGTGTTTCCAGATAGGGTTTAAAATGGAATTTTAATTTCACTTTTATTATAAGGAATGTCCTTGTGATGATCCAAAGAGGTTAGAAGTTTAAATAAAATTCAAAAGAACAAAATGGGTATGTGAAACTGCTTTATTTTTTTCTTTCAGTATTTTATTTTTCCTTGTAGTGATTCACTGTTCTTTTACCAAAAAAAAAAAAAAAAAAAATTTTTTTTTTAAAGCCTACAACACGCAGTATTCCAGGGCTATCTCCCATCCAAGTACTAACCAAACCCGACCCTGCTTAGCTTCTGAGATCAGACAAGATCCGACTTTTGCAGGGTGGCATGTCCATACACTTACTGTTCTTTAAAAACGGGATTTGTGGAACAAAAGTACTGTCAGAGGCTGATCCATTGTTCCCTGGAAACCATTCTGCCCTTTTACCTACCCATCAGTATTCTAGCCTTGAAACCTTGATTTTATGGTCTGGCATTGGTAATGTTTTTAAATTGATTTTTAAAAGACAATTCTTTGAATTGAAATTTTAAAGCATTGGACATCAGTAATTGTAGATGTAGGTTACTTAAAGGACTGTGCTCAACGAAAACAGGAAATTACCATGCTTATTTTTTAGTCATCTGACAATCCCATATTAAGAGAAAGAAAAACGATGGTATTTCGGCATTATGTGTGAATTAAATTAGCATCCGCTTTTCTCATTTCATAATGTCCACTGATTGCTCACTTTGTACGGTAGCCCTGTTATGTTTCTGCACAATGCCTGTATCCAAGGAGGATAGCATAGCAATTAATTTAAGGGAAATAATTTTTGCTTTTAAAGATACTAATTCATTGTTGCCCTATCAATGTTTGGATTATTTGGGTATGATTTATCCTAGAATTTCATGTACATTCTTGAATAATTCATTTGATTCTCCTGCAATAAACATGTTTTTAAAATCTTTGGTTCCCTTCTTAAAATCCTTTACCTCTTAACATCCAACACATTAGTAAGTCCCTTGTATGGATCCAAAATATCTCCTGAATCTAATGGTTTCACTCACATCTCCTGCATCTTCCTTAGCTCAAGCCATCATCATCTTTCACCTGGAGTTTTTGGGACATAATTT